AACCTCCAGCTCTAGACAGCCAACAGTGTGTGGTCTGTTGTCAAAAGCAGCATGTTTTGGAATGTAAAGTATATAAACTTTTAGGAAGTTGACATGTTACATCAAGACTGAAATTGATTGTGCATCTTACTCTTTTGAAGATGCCTAAAAGAGTCAAAGCTTCAGAAAAGCATTTTTTATAGAATGCTTCTCTAAATGTAGAGTAAAATAAGCAGCAAACCAGAGGATTTGCTTGCTTAGAATGGTTTTCTTCTGAATAGATACCAATGTTGGTCTTCTACCAATATTAAGAGAATTAAAACCCAAATTAAAACAGCATTGTAAAATTCAGAGTGTAAAAGATACTATTTACAGATGAAGTTTAGTATCAAAAGATCTAAAACTTTTGATTAAGAGTAGGCATGTTTAAGCTTGCATGATTTCAAAATAGGGGAAAAAAGGTTCAAGGATCATTATTATTGGGAGTCATGAGTTAGTATGCATCTCATGAACAGTTAATTGCCACTAACCAAGACTAATACAGTCTAATTTGAATAGAAAAATGTTTTTCATTTATATCTAAATTTAAATTAAATTTATCCCTTCTTCCCTACTGCCCAGCGCTGAGCAGCATGTTTATAAATATTTTTCCTCTATTCCTTTGGATTTATGGCTGTTCAAGCTAATGCAACAAAGTAAAATGGTTTTAATCCAATGGAAGCAAAAAACATAGCTTTTTCAGATTGAAAGCTCCCAACAGAATGTTATTTGAATGTAACTGCATGGTTGCTAGTGGGTTTGGAATGGTAAAAAAAGACAACATGAGTGACTAAAAATGTTTCTGTGCATCAGTTTGGAAAACCAAATTATTTTGAACAAATAATTGAAATGTGCAGTCATTTAAAAGTATTTTGGTATGTTTTGTAGGTTTGGAATTGAATGTATGTATAAAGAGCATGTTCCACTTACATGCCTACCTTTGATTTTTCATAAAAGCAAACAGATGCTATAGTCTCCTGGATCTCAAAATGCAATAGCTAGCAATTTATATGTTCCATATGTGGATTTTTATCAATATTTTTAACCTTCATTCTGCTCCTGACATGTTGGGTTTCTATCTTGCTTGGAGGAATACATCCATTAACAGAAACTAAGTAGATTATGACAGTTGTCCAGTCACCAGTACAGTCATCCACAGCCATACATTACCTGTACCTCTCTCACATCCATTTAGGATGATGTTGGTAATGCATGAGTAGATTTGTTCCTCTTAAGTAAACAACTCGTTATGTATTGGTGTTGACTTCTGCAGTGTACAATCTTGTGGCAGGCTCTTCTCGAGTAAGTTTAGAAATAGCAAAGATACCCTCGTTTTGGAATTGGACTGGAAGAGGTTTTGACCATCTGAATGCCGTTAACCAGCTAAAGTTTGACCTATTGCCCAATTAGGTTTTAAATATTTTTCTCAAAAAAGGATTTTCAACAAACAGGCTAAAATGGCTTTGGGGTGTAGAATGAGAAGTAAGGGCCATTTAATGCACTGTACAACACCCACTGCAAACTTGCAAGTATTCCTTGATTTCTCCTATTCAAATGCTGCCCTACCCCAACTTGCTTTGTTGAGGTCAGAATATGGTATGACCAGCCTAGGTATTAAAACTACTTATGTACATGCGGTACAGGAATCTGTTCTTATTTTCTCATAGTATTTTCTTCATGGAAATTGTTGAAAGGCAGACCAGTGTCTCCTGTACAAGCTCTCTTGTTGACAACCCTGCAGGCAGCGTGGTGGCTTCACACTGCCAAGCTCTACCACCTGTGGCTTTGTTTCTTAGCCAGAGTTCGTGACTGCAATCTGTTGTGTTTCAATTTGCAGCTCTAGAGCTCTATCCCAAATCCTGCTTCTCTTAAAAAGCTTTCAATTCTGTGTTGAAATTTATCACTTTGTTGTTTTCCCATTCCCCTGTGTAAATTGAGTACTGTGCTATCCGAGAGAGCTGGATTTGAGAGTGAGTTGGTAACCCTGACCCTGCTGTTTGGCATAAAGGTAGATATAAGGGAAGTTGCTATAAAAAACACTCTTTGCTTTGCAAATAACAGCTGAATAAGACTGTCTGTAATAGCTGTGTTTATCAATAGAAAATAGCATTTCCAGAGGCTGACTCTGAATGTCCTAGGAAGCAGATGAGGTACCTGCGTTTGGTAGTGAAATACAACATGATAAGTGGAAAATTTGAATAATGTATATTTACAGATTATTTGTATGATCACATTTTTCCTTATTGATACATAAAGGGCAATTCTACAGCTGCTACGGATGTTCTTTTACCAGAATAGCAACTGACCTCAAACTTGACCTCTCTCTCCTAATGTATGTAATTAAAAACAAAACCAAAAAAAATTGCCCTTTCCAGAAGAGAGAGAATTGCATAAAATTCTTTGTTCTGTTCTCAGTGCTAACATTATTCAAACACTAATCATAATCCACCCCTGTTGTCTTTTCTGGTGAGCACCATCTCAGCTGGTCGCTTTGATTTTAGTGGTAGTTGTTTGTGTCCTATTGCTATTAAGTTTACTTGTTAAAAAGGACAAATTATTTTGGATCTGGAACTAAAAAAAGCAAAATCACAACTTTAGTTATTAATAACACTATCTTAGATCTGTGATGTGCTTCTCTTTGTAAAGGGACCCACAGTGCTTCCTGCACTTACATATATAGAAATTGCTTTTCTCCCCTGTTGAAATGCAAATGTCCTGGGGTAGAGCATGGCAGTTTTTCATCAACATATGGCGATATTATCCAGCCCCTCAGGGCAGAAGGTAAAGAATAACGCCATATCCTGGTGTGCAAGATACATTACCAAAACGGGAATGTAGTTATTCAGGCAAAAGATGTCATGGATTCTGGTTTAATATCTTGCTGATGATGACAGAAATACACGTGACATTATCCCATATGAAATCCTTCCTAGACACCAGCAATCTTAGTACGACTGGATTTTTTAGACTGTATCTCTTTACCCTCAAGTTGAAATTTCCTTTTCTTAGCTGTGTGATTTTGCCACAAACTCGAGTCAAGCTTTCCATCTTCTACAGTGCAGGTGCTACTTTTTTCCCAAATTTCTCTCTCCTTATCATTATTCCAGATAATTTTTCTCCGAACTGTACTGGTTCGTACCTCTTCTAAATGGAATATTGCTGTTTTGTTTGGTCTGTGTTTTTCATAACTCTAAACCCACTTGTATTCGTTTACCTTGAAAGATGATCAGCTCAGCCTAACTTAGCATCCCTTGCAAATGTCATGAATGTGCTACCAGCTGACAAGCAGCTCAAGTACTTCAAGATTTATTAGTTATACTTAATGGGTAAGATATGATGTAAAGCACTTGGAAGTCTGTGGGGACAGGGTATCTAATAGGAAGGCTGGTGTTGTTGAACCTCGTTTGCAGTGTTCATACCTCCCGTTTCTTCCCATTCTGGTACATTGCTGTTCATCATTTCACTTTGCAGTTGTTTTAAAGGTAGGATTCAGTACAGCTTTGAAAGAGTTTTGATGTAATAAGATTGCATTAGACTACAATTCAGAACTAGGTGATTCTTTCAGTCCTATGCTTTACAGGTTTTCAGATAGTTTTCAATCTAAATGTTTAACCTGATTTGAAGTTATCTTCCAATAAGTTTTTTCTGAGGGTATAAATCAGTGTTAGATCTCAAGGTCTACTGTCCACCATTTAATCTTTGTGGCAAAATCTGGTCAACAGTCTGGCAGAAATTATTATTATTGAGTGCTACTGTAAATTCTATGTGTGTTTCAGTCATTTATTTTGCAAATTATTCTTTGTGTAACGATGCACATAAGTAAGTATGATCTGGATTCCCTCATATAAGAGTGGGCAGGCTGAAGCAAGCTCCTGCCCAAGATACACAGAGAGGAACAGGGTCAGGTAGTGCTTTGCTGGACACGGTGGTGGGCTCTGACAGTCCTACGCACTTCTTCCCATCACACCAAGTGTGAGAGGGTCCTGAGGAGAGCAAAGTGAGAATGCTGCAGTACCCTGCTTTCACATCCCATTTGGTAGGAAGCGTTCAGAGGAACTAAGAACAATTTCCCCTTTAGCTCCCATCAATCCTTCATCCTCCACTCTGTCTCTGTTCACAAACCAGAAACCATGGCTCTCAAATTTGTGAAGATACAGCAGAAATTATTCCTGCTCTGGCAACTCTTAGAAGCTATTGCTGGGCTGTGTGCTGGCAGGGGAGGTGGGGTTAGTGAGAAGTGTGGCTCTGCTCAGCGGCAGTGCTTGCAGATCGCAGAGGTAGAGGTGCTCTGTTCCTCTTTGCCGGAAGAATTGCAATTAACCCCCCCAACCCTGTTGTGCCAGTGGTAATAGGCACAGTCCTCTGAAGGCAGCCTGCTGAGGGCCTTCCCCGATAGACTCACGCTAACAAATGCATCTGCTTTACACCACAGAAATGGAGGGGGGGTCCTGGGAGAAATAAACAGACAACAAAAAAAAAGTCTGGATAGAATGCAAACAGGTTTGCTGCCGTTAAAGGAAAAAAAAAAGGCTCATACTGTTAATGTGCTTCCTTATGTCAATTTTATTGTTTCTGTACAACCTAATCAGCCATGGACAAGACATGGTTCCCGACAAGCTGTTAAACACCATTGGCATTTGTGGCAGGAAGCATAACTAATGAGCTAGGTTGGAGGTAGACGAGCTGCACGCTGTTAATTGATATTTCACTCCTCAGCTATTTCTCGTTTGCTCTTTGCGTGACAGAAGGTCAGAGCAGATTTTCTCTCGGTTGCGGGTGAGAGCTCTTTGAGGGCGAATCCTGCACCGATGCGTGTGCAGAGTGGCTGGTAAAGAAGTGATGCACTGGGACGCGGTCAGGGTATGAAGGTAACAGTCTTGCACATAATTAGGGATGCAGCATGGCCGACCAAATGGTGAGAGAGGAACCAGGCCTCAAAGAAGTCACATGGTGTAAAACTGCACTGGTTTTAACCTGCTTTTTTGGGTGGTTGTGTGTATGGTGCTTAAGATTAACAGAGTTTAAACTGTTTCCCTAAGTAGGTGAAACCAGAAAATTATAGGAAAAAACCAAGTGGAATAAAACTTGAGATTAATTGTTTTCAGAGCTCAGCTTTCAGGAAAACTTCAAGTAGGAGATTTTAATAGTCATGATGGTTAGCAACCCTTTGAAGTCTGTATCTGTGCTAGTAATTTGTTAAACTAAAGTTTATGGTTTGTGACCTTAATAAGAAAAATCCTGAGACTGCTACCTATGGTAATTTGAATACATATTTTTAAACATGCTGACAAACAAAAGTGGGCCAATTCACTCTTCATGGTTCATCTTCCTATCTGGTTTCTGTGCGCTCACACAGAATTTACTTCTTTAGGCCTTTAGCCTCTAGGCCTTAATCTTAATAGGATTGGGAGCATCCCTGTGAGTCCAGCCTTTCTCTGACCAGGAGAGGCAGTAAATTCATTAGAGCTCAAGTCTTTGACGATGCGGGCATGTCCGTCTGCCATCCCTGTGGTGTCTTGGTCGGACTGCTCTGGTTTTGTGCTTAGTAACTGTCATGGATGCAATGAGAGGAACTTGGCAGGCTAATTATTAGTGTTCAGACAGTTTTCTTCCTGAAGCGATATGTTAAAGACCATGTACACTTTTAAAATTTACATAGACCTACCTTTAAAAAATGTGTATCTTGTGTTGTAGGACTCAGTACCATCAGTAAGGAAATGGTTTGGGTCTTCTGCAGCACAGTTTGGACTGGTCAGATGTGTTTCTGCTCTGGGGGATGGTAGGAGGAAATGGTGTCTTGTGTTTAATTTAATATTCACTGCAGTACTGTCACACTTAGTATGCGTGTTTGCCTAATTCTAATCAAACTAATTCTAATCAAACTTCTCCTAGTATATCACGATGCTGTATTTTAGAGGGAGGAATCAATAATGTCAACCACTTGTCCCAGGTGTCCTCTATAAGATGACACTCTAATTTCAACTTGAGGAACCGTTTTGGAGGGTTTTTTCCACTGACAGAGGGAAACTGGTTTTGGAGTAGGCGCGTGGGTTATCTGCCTTCTTGATGCGTGGTGAGACTCCTGCTTTGCAGAATCAGGAACACAAGGGACAACACTGTAAATCAAACCTGTGTCGAGGTTTCCATTTGAACAAATGGCCCACCTGAACATGATGAAGGACCTTGTGCAGAGGACCTTGGTCTCAGTTCTGGGGTTTAGGGTTGTCTCTAGTCTCTCAGAAAGCAGACGGATGGCTGCAGTCAGCAAGGAGAGGGAGCTGCCCTGTGGCCTCTGATGTTCTTCATACCGTAATGGATGCATTGCCTGTGGGGAGGTTAGCGGAGGTTTGGAGAGCCCTGAGAAATCCCTTGCAGGGAGGCAGACTGTAAACATTTTTGCCAGTTGCTCAATGCCTGCAATTAGGCTGGTTAAGCCAGGTAAACGTTTGAATGAACTGTGGATGAGAAACAGTTTGAACTAATCTGATTCATGGTACCCTGAGCACAAAACACCTTGTTTCATAAGGCACTGGCAGTTGTGATGTCCTTTTATTTATTTTTAAACAATCAATAAATCAGTAAATCAAGAAGCTTTATTTAGAGGAATATAGTGAAGGTGTTTTCTGGTTCACCTTTACTGCTGTATCCCGCCCTCTCTCCTGTCCATGAAAAGTCAGTTCAGGAGTCAGTCTTTGCCCTTCAACTTTGCTGTGAACGGCAGACATGTGGATTGCTATAAATCCATTTGTCTCTATTAATATTAATACACAGATTATTTTTTTTTCCTTTCCTGGAAAAGCAGCCTTCCTTCCTTCACCTTTTGAGGTGGTACCTTTATGTGCAAGGCAATGATTTCTGTCTGGGAAAGCTGCAGCTCATGATTACTGAAGAGTATTTGGGAGGAGGCAACCTGTGTCTTCTGGAAGCACACTGAGCCCTTTCTCCAGACCTTCTCTGTGCATTTTGTTGACTGTCAGAGAGCAAGGCTGTAATTATCTCTATTCATACATACATAACCCTGTATGTGAGGTAATAAATAATAAATACATCTGAGTGCCAGTGTCAAGAGGATACAAAAATGGTCCAAATTTCCTATTTCTTAGTAGTTTTATTTAAAGATTATCTATTTCTTATTCAGGATCTTAAAGATAAAATATCTGGGAGTTTTGGCAGTCCATGACTTGATGAAGACCTATTGGAGGGGTATAGTGGGGCAGGAAACAACAGAAAATTATTATATAGTGGTTGGGAAAGGGGACAGGAGGTCATCATTAGGGTGTAGATTGACACAGCTTGATTTCATAAATGTGTTTTGGTTTTACTACCAGCAGTGAAACTAAAAATGCACTCCCTGGTGGTGCATACCATTTCAGGGGTGAATAAAAGGCCTAATCAGATCATTTAATAAGTGATGGAGCTACCAGCTCTGCTTGTATTAATCATTCTTTTTAGCAGAGATGGAATTGTTGGACCTTCTTACCAACAGTGGTGGTCTGAGAAGCTTTGTTAAATTTATTTGGGATAATACTATTCATGTCAGTGTCACAGTTCTTTGATTAATATGTTGTATTATTTTTATCCTGAACTTGAAACTATTGCATATTATTAAGATATTTTGGCATTTTAGATTTTGAATTGTTTTCTGTAAGATAGAATTTCCAGAAATGACTGGGTATCCTGGGCTGGTGTTTTGACCTTTCGGTGCTGCAGAGGAGATTGAGGAGAAAACCTTGAAGTCACTGTAAGAAGAGGATTAAGGACTGTTTAATAACGGTATAATGTAACCTAGATCATCAGTAGGCATTCCTTGTCTCACTCTCTCGAGCAAAAGGTTATGCAGAAAGTTGCCTAGAGATAGTATAAAGACTCACAGTTAATGGACTGTATATTTTTGCTGCTTTCCTTGAGTGGTTACTCAATAGAGTTTTCATACTACCACTTTTTGTTGCTTTTTTAATTATTAGGTTTTATTTTTAAACATAATTCTGTAAGCACAGATTTCACTACTCAAAAAACCCTCAGTCAAACCAATTCTGACTGCACAGGCTTGCCCTTAGCTTTATTTGCGTTTTGAAATGCAGCAGACCAGGCACACTGTTATAAATAGAAAGTGATAGCTAATGTGAATTTGCATAGATCTTAACCCAAACCACAGAACAAAGTAAAGAACTGGGCAATTGCAGTTTCTTGTACTTTCTTCTCACTAGGATAAGGCAGACTCAGCTTGGTTCTTTTAGTAACTTCTGTAGGCAAAATATGTGTAATATTATGTTTAGGACTAAATTCCAGATCCCTAAGGAGCCTACTGTGAACAGGCTCATTGCTGATGTTGGTTGGGGTTGATTGCTTTATATTTTTTTCATCTTCCTATGGTTTTGTGAATATGGAAGTTATTCTGTCTCTCCCTATTTGTTTATTATGGTGGTGTCTGCCCTTCAGACTACTCTGTTGCATGGAATGGGTGCCTGCCAAGCTCTCTGATATTTGTTTTTTTAATTATTATTTTCAGGATCCAACAAACCTGGATAAGTTCAATGTCTCAAACTTCTTTCACGTTAAGAACAACATAAAAGTAATTGATCCAGGTAAGGATGAATTGAAGGTAGGCTGAGAAAACATCAACCCGAATATGTGAATTCTAAAGGCGACATTGTGGAATTTGCAGTTTTCTGGGTGGACATCCCTCAGTGGCTAGTGGTAACTTTGAAAGCTTCTTGGAAACATCAATAACTTGTTGAAACTGTCCCTCTCACATGAAAAGGGGTTAACAAATTTTGAAGCAAAGACATGATTCTTTGAGAAATCATTAACTGTCTCTGTTGAGTGCTGCGCAAACACGGACAGCTTTCTGTATCCTTTAAGAGTAGGTAGGTGATAGAGAAGAGAGAAAGGAGGAAAAATAATTTGGCAAAAGGTCCGTTAGCCTTGTACCAGAACCAAGACAAGGAAGTCTACATCTTCTCATACCTGTCTGCTAGGCTCTTCCATGTGTATCAACAACATATTGCCCATCCTTCTGTCTGGGTAACAGTGGACATCTTCCAGGTTAAAGATTTATATAGGTTTTTCTAAAATAGTCCCCAAATTATTTTAATAATAAAAAATAAATGCTTTTTTTTTATTTCTAGATATCTAAGAAATTTTCTTCTTAATTATTTTGTGGTTTTGGAATAGTTAAATGCTTAGTAATATCTGCTAATATTAAATTGCTGAAGGAAAAAATTCTCTAATTCTCTCCTTTGCCCTTGTGGTTTCCTTTAGAACTGCTTCTAATGAGGTCTAATTGCTGAATCTAAGCATGGTATGTTTTTCTGGGTCTTACTATGCTCATCTTTTTTTTTTTTCCTTTTTTTTTTTTTTCTTTAAAGCTACTACTTCTCTAAGCAAGCATCTCTCTCTCTATTTACCCACTAAAAATAAGTGGGTATTATCTCAGAGATGGAATGTTTAATATCCAGCAAATAGTAGGCATACCAAGACAGAGAACAAGTGAAACTTGTAAAAATAAAAAATAATAAAAAAAAAAAAAATCATCACATTCTACAGTCCACCAGCTTCCTCCCCTTGATATCATTAAAGATCTGATCTTGGGATTTTTGCATCACAGGCCTGGCCATTCAGTGAGGAGGCAAAGGACAGAAGTTTATATTGTATCCAACTGCGTCTAGTCTTTATTGTTCTATGAAAATTTTACAAGACCTGCATGAACTTAGATAATTTCTAGTGGTTTCAAAGAAATTTGTGAAATGGTTGATTTGAAGTTGTTGTTTTCTTTTGTTATATTTTATCATACTGACATTTTTTGTGCTACATTTCAAGTTAAACTGTCATTAGTGTTATGCATTGCTATTTGTTGCTGTTTCTGCAGGAATAAATATAGTTACTAGACCTTTTTATTTTTAAAAAAGTAGAAATAATATCTGGAAGATTTCTGTGTAACTAGATATGTAATAAACTGAAGGAGAACAAAATAATATTTTTCTTTTAACTCTGAATGATTTAACTTTGTCTTATCTAGATGAAGAAAAAGCAAAATTAGATCCATCGTACTATTTGAAAAATACAAATACAGAGACCCGAGAGACTTTACTGGAGCTTTATAAGGAGTTCAAAGGCGATGATATTCTAGCAGCTACTATGAAGGCTCCTGAAAAGAAGAAAGTGGATAAGCTGAACGCAGTACGTTGATTTAATTTGTACTTTGGCACTGACTGACTCCTTCAAGAATGGTAATAGATGTTTTTCAGCTTAGAGGCCATGCTGCAGCATAAACAGACACTGTCCTTCTGTTTTCTGTTACATGGGAATTTGTCATAGAAGAGAATATGAGAATCATATTGGGATTCCTTAGAAATCTGTATGTGTCAGTGAGTTTCTCTTTGTTAAATCATTGTAAATGAACCTAAACATTTTAGAAATGGAGCCCAATAAGAAGGAAGAATCTTTATGATGTGGTTATGATGTATATGTTGGCAGAACCTTTTTTCCCAGGTTGTAATCTCTTGCTTTGAATTGTTTTATCATTGCTTTCTGCAGTTATTGGCAGAGAGAACACTCCTTAAGGGCTCTGCAAGTGAATAATTTCTGGTGTGGGCAAATATATAAATGATCCACAGCTGCTTCTCCATTTCTTTCCACTGGAATGCAGGTTTTTTAGTGGAATATTTTAAAGGAGGTTCTTCCAGGTGCATGTTGCTGTGTGTTCATGGTTGTCAAGAGAAACAATTCATCTGCATCTAGATTTCCTACATCAAAGGCTGTTTGAAATGGGCAAGACAGAGTATTCTTCTTTCCTTTGGTAATTCTGGGATGTATGTGTCTTCGTGCTTTGATTACACTTACATGAAAACGAATAGCAATGCAGCATCTGGCTTTTAATGAGGAGGCTTAGTGACAGATTAGGGAGTGTATGTGACCAAGGACTGGGATCACATTTGCCCCTTTTTCAGGGCATCACAGTGTTATAATAAAACAAAACATGTCGGGAGAAAAAAAAAGAGGTGAGAGACAACAATGAGCTCTACACATGTTGGAGAGTCAGATTGTCAGCTACTGATGTGGCACTTGCATAGGATAATAGTGTAACCTTATGGATAGAGCATTGGCCTGACCTGTATTCTTTACAGGCATCGCCCCAGAGCTGCTAAACATATCTCTGGGTTTATTAGATCTTTGTAATTTACTACAAAATCCATGTGTGACGTTCACATTTCCCTTCTGCAAGAGAATTACAAAGCTCAAAATAGACATTGGGAATGACGGGACCATGCCTCTGCTTGCAGAAGGGCCGTGAGTGGGGGTGGTTTGCTTTCCTCCACAGTATCTCTGTGGTTCACTGCGTTTTCCTTCCACTTATTCAGCAACATTGGAGAGTTTTACAGATGTCTCGCCAGCAGTATTCCTTTCATATTTCCACCTGTGGACATACAAATAAATTCTGATAATAGAATCTTTGCATAATGATGTATTAAACTGTAGTGGAAGCAATAAGCCCCTTCAGCTCAGTACATGGGCAGCCTTAACTGGAGTTTCATCAGAGCAAATGTTATGTGTTACAGATGAATTATCACTGCATCGTGCATTTATTTCTTTCTATAGGAGCTAGAGTGGAAAGTCTGCCTTCAGAAGGATAACATTTGTGTGTCCTAGTGCTTGTATAGTATCTTTAGTAGATAAATTCTAAGATCTAATGTCTTTTTGTCTTGCTTTTTCCTCTGCAAACAGGCTCACTATTCCACTGGAGCAGTAAGTGCTTCCTTCACCTCCACTGCAATGGTGCCTGAAACTATCCACGAAGCAGGTACCTAGCTACAAGCTGTTTATTTACTTCCCAGTTTTAAAGTGTGCTCCCTAGCACGCATATATTTATGAGGACTGAAGGAAAGCATTGATAATTGGTCAGTACTGATGCCATGGAAATGTATTTCCTGAGAATATATATCCTTACTTTCCAGTGAGCTCATTCTGAAAATAATGGAGCAATTAGGAATTAGCTTCAGCTTTGAATAGCAGTTACTTATGTTGAACTGAAATTAATGAGGCATTTCCTATGCCCAGGGACCACAAAATGGGGTAGCCGCTTATGTAAGTTAGGAATGAAGTATAATCTCTCCTCAAATAGCATACAAATTTTTACCACCTTTTTGGCCTAACCTGGTATTGGTTAGAATGACAGCAAATTTTGTGGTGATAACTTTTGATATACTGCTTTTCAAGGTTACACAAAAAAGCATTTTAGTACAATGACGTTTTCCTTTTGTTCTCCAGCCTAAACACAAATGTATAGAATTTATTTAATTTGAATATTGATTAAATAGCTGAGCAATTAGTGTTCACAGCTGAAGAGAAAGGTCTGGCTTTCGGCACTAAAATTTAGACGTATGTCACACACTTAGGCAAAGATTGAATACGTTGCTAAAACTACGTTTACCAAGTTCAGTTCCTTTACTTGGTGGATTACAGTGATTTGCAGGTGGATATTTGAGTGTTGAAAATATCTGACTAACTGGACATTTTGACAAAATGGAAGTGGAAACATCCTAGATTGATCCTTTGGTTTGACTTTCCAGTAATGTTTCCAGTAACTTAACTTCATTTGTTTTCAGAAATGGGTAGGTCCTCATATGTCAGCAATTTGTGGTTGACTGATGACTACCTGCTTGGCTTCCAAGTTTGACAAGAACAATTTGGTTTCAAAGTAACATTTGTGATTGGTAGGCATTACTTGAAAATTATAGTTTGTAATACTGAATGCTTCTGTGACTTAAAAATATAGATGATATTGTTGGCTCTTGAGGAGTTGGTGGTTTTCTATAATGGAAAGTGTTTTGCACAGAGATTAATGTGAGGTTATCGTAGTTGAATTGCAGAGTACAGTCCCTGAAGACCCAGTACCCCAGGGGATGAGATCAGACAGTAAAGTAGTAGAATCTAGCAATTTGTTTTCTGATGATTTCTAAAGATCAATGAATAAGCTTCCAGAGAGGTAATTATTGTCTTTTGCTTTGGTATAGCTGCTATTGAAGAAGATGTTGTGAGATACAACTACGTGAAGAAGAAGGGCTATGTGCGACTTCACACTAATAAAGGAGACCTAAACTTGGAGCTGCACTGTGATATGGTACTGTATGTGCCCAATAAAATTAATCTTTCTAGATAACAAACAGGATAAGAGCTGCCAATGGAAATGTCCAAAGAAAAGAATAGTGTGTAGTTGTAATAGATACAGATAAATAAGTAGCTTTCAGTTGGTTTGGTGTGTTTTCATACATATACAAAACTCCATTGTAAAATGTAAATATATTATTTTATATATTATACTGCTGTATGTATAAATGGTCTCTGTGAGTAGTCCCATACATTCTAGTGGACTACTTACATGTCAAGATACATGTTTAGAGCTTCAAAGGGTCAGGATTATAGAGACCCAAACAATGACAAGGAAGGCAGAGAGAGAAAAAAGAAGGAAGAACACAGAGAAGAGAGAATAACCGCAAAGTTACACAGCAGGTTACTGGCAGAACCAGGAAAAGAACCTCAGTGAAACTGAGAGCAGTCTGTCAGCCTGAGTGCATGTAGTTAAGATCCCCAGAAATGGTTAGATTTGATTCTAAACCCTGAGCTTTACAGAACAAACCTAAATGAAAACCTTTAGAATATGTTTTTTACTTCCTTATGTATCAGTTTTTAAGGTTTAAGTTTTTAAACATCTTCTCTTTGCCATCAAGAGGTAGACCTTAATTTTAAAAAACAGCGGACTAGAGGTTTCTATAGTCAGTACAGTCTGAATCTGGGGGAATTCTGTGGCTCTTAAAATAATAAACACGGCAAGACTTGTGATAGACGGATGAGTTGTGGCGACACTGGTGTCTTGGACGTCACTGCTTGCTAGTGTGCTGGCTCATTTATTTGTTCAACCACATCTATAAAAGGAAAAAAGTTTTCAGTGTAAAAAGCCCAAACATTCCGTTGTTTACTGAGATTTTTATCTCAGGAGATTATAGGCCTGAAGGTAGATGTTTTGGGAAGTTGAAGGATGTGAATAGCAGATTAGATGGTAAAACTTCTGCTTGTTGTGATCCTCACAGAATTTAAGGACAGCAGTGCTAGCTAGGAGCTGGGGTGCCTGTTGTGAAATCCAGAGATGCACTGGGAGAATGCATCCTTTTTTGCCTGGGAGAAAGAAAAAGAGGCAAACAGGACAAGCCTGCTAGCTTTCCCTTCTCCCTTCTCTCGCACGAGTAAGGAGCAAGATATGTGTAAACTTCTCAGGCTGATCTATAGAAACAGTATGAGAACCTCCACAGCAGCGCATCATACTGATAGTTCTGTAGGTCCCTGACATCCCTACAGATGTTTTCCATGTGCTTAAATAGTAACACTATGTAATAAGGCTAAGGCAAAAAGCAGAGGATGTTAGTACAGCAATATTTGGGGGAAGCAGCAGAATGAGCAGATTGCATTGAATCATTTGTTTTGCCGTATGCTCTCAAACTGGCTCCTGGCTAATGCAGGCTGACTGCAGCTATTCTTATCAGTGTGGGGTTTTTGGCCACATGTGTGACCAGTGTCACTCAGTCCTGAGGACCCAGTCTCAATTGCCCATTATAAACGTCCTGTGTGATATCCATTGTGTTTCCTTTTTTCCAGATGAACCCCTATTCATCTCCCTTTCACACACGCTGCTTCCTCGTGTACACATTGGAAGTGTGCACTGGTTTACACAACCAGAGCTGCTTGCACGCTGGCCCTTAGCCATCTGTTTCTTTCTTTTCTTTGTGTCCATTACATCTGTGTGAATTAAGCAGACCTTTGGCACTGTAGAGGGGGAAAAAGATATATATTTAGAATAAGTAGGAAAAACTTGGTGCTTTAAGGAGGTTTTCACAACATCCACTTTAGGTCATCATCCTAGGCCTATTAAATCAGTTCTTCTGGGAGGTGCTTGTTTTTTTCCCATTACTATATAAGGAGTTTGTGCTTCTAACTTTGGTTTTCCTGAATCACACTGAGGTTAGGCACATAAGGTAGCTCAGTGCAAACAGGGCAAACATCTTACAAACATATAACTCATATATAGGTCACAAACATATACACAGATCAGCTACAATGAATCTATTGAGGCTGCACAGACAGACATAGTAAATGGGGAAATGCCAAAATCAAGCTTTTCTAAACACATCCAGTTCACTCCGCCTGTGAATATGCATAGTAATAGTCTTATTAATCATATGCTGAGTTTTTAATCAGCTCTCTCAGTTTATTCAGTGCACAAGCTGAACCAGCTCTGGGAGCTATTTGGAACTGTGTAGTAAAATGGTTTACAGGCAGGATTTCCTGCAAAAGTGTAGAATGCAGGTAGCGTCCTTGAATACAGTCGAGGGAACCAGACTGTATCATAGTGCTCACCCAAATTAATGTTGCACAGGAGTTTTGGTGCCTGACTTTTCAGCCTTCATGATTTTTTAGTGCAGTTGGCATGGGTACTACCCTGGCTTTTCAGAAAGAAATGGAGAAACAAATTTCAGTCCAAAGCACTGTATTTATACACACTGAGAACACCAGCGGATTTGGGACCCCTGGATTCAACACACAGATCTGTGCTAACTTGCGTGAATGACAGAGACTGTAGCAGTATTAGGTTGTCACTGCAGTTTGAATTCAGCCAAAATATGTGTGATTTGGGGAATTCATACATCTACTCTCTCAAGCAGTGCAACTGCAGGAGCAAGTATATGATTTATAAACCATATTACAGTGGTGCTTAGCCTCTGGTTGTTGTCTTGACCTGACCACAGGCTCCTTTTTTTAATTGCTGAGCAATACCCTGTGCTCACATTATTATGGAAGCCACCCTAGCAGCGGTTGCATTTTCACAGTACTGCAAATATACGATTGTGAAATGCTTTAGGAAGCTTGAGGATGAAGTTGCTATATAAATATGACAAATGAATACCTGTGTCCGGAGGTAGGACTTGCAACATTCAAATTACATTTTAAAATAGTCTTGTGGGTTAGATTTCAATATACCCTTTGAGGTAAGGTCTTCTTGCTGAAATAGAGAACAACAAGTGACATACTTGCTGTCTTAAGGTGTATGTCTACTGAATCCTCAATTGTATTTTCATGCCTATGGGCTGTCTATTTAAGCAAAATATCCTTGCAGCTGTGCTCTCGGTAGTCTGCACCACTTCTGAAATCTACCCAATATCCTCTTTGCCATCAGTACCCACCTTGGATTCTTACTCCCTCTCCCTTCACAGCTCTTCCATCTCCTGTTCTCACCTTCCCCTGTTTTTTGTGAGCTATCTGGCAGTATGAATTGTTTGGACTTCAGTCTATATGTACGCATGGAAACTTTTATTTAAAAATAAATCTAGGGATCTTCATACACTAGTACTTTAAGGTGCCAGTCAATAAGATTGATAGTGATGAGATTCTTCCCAGCACCAAAAAACTAATCAAGAAATGTTTTGTATTGATCCAGGGGAGGAAATCAGTGCTGCAGTGTGATTGAAGTCATCAGTTACTTTGTGACAGAATTCAGAAAGAGCATGAAATAGGGCTAGAATCCAGATATTTTCTGTGTTTGAAATCACTTGTTCAGAGCACCAGAAAATTTCACTTAAGTACCAGAAAGATGACGCATGATGTAAGTCATTGACCTGAGAAAAGGCAATAAAGACTTTGGAAGATAAACTGGATTTTTTCCCACCCTTTTGAATTTGCGCCTCAAATGAGCAAAGGTACACTACTGTTCTCTCTTTGCATTGTAACGGTGTGCCTGGTGCTCTTTATTGCCATTTGTTTTTCTCCCAGTCGTCTTGTTCAGATACAGTATGTTCCCCCTGATGGGGACTAATCAGATGGCCATTTGTTAGGGACAATTTCCAGGAAGCTGAGTTCAGCTGGGCATAAGCAACATTTGTTGTATACACTAATTGGAAACAAATTTACAAAAATTCTACTTGCCAGATCAGAAGATTTAACAGCATCCAACAAGTGTTATTCTTTCAGCTCTAGTCTTATGCATCGCCAAACAAATAAATTATGAAAAAATAACTGATGAAAGGCAATGAGTGTCACTGGATTTCTTGTATTTTACTTACTGTGATTTTTCTAATCTCAGGTTCTTTTAGCTGCTTTGATCAGGATGCTGCTGGGAACAACTGTCTATATCATCTGTGTGTATTCTGCTGTATTAGTGACTACCGTGATGCAGTTACACATTGCAGGTGGTGGAGCAGCCCCTTAAGGCCAGGGGGAGGCTTCACCCTGTGCAAAAAGTCAACTTGACTTGGGTTTGGAAGTAGAAAAGCAATGTAGTGTAATGGTTGGAGTGGAGAATGAGGAGCTGGTAAACCCTGAATTCTGTGTCTTTACCATGGACTTGCTGCATGATGTGGCTATGTCAGTTGGTTATGGATTTTTTTAAATCAGTGGCATTGCATTTTTTATTTCGCAACGAGCGATACGAGCATAATTTTGAATTCCCAAGCAATAACATGTGTCATAGATGCCTAATTGCTGGAGTAAGGCTACACAAATAACCTAGGCTGCCTGTTGGAATCAGCAGCCCTGCATAAGAATAGACAGAGTAGCAGCCTCCTAGTCTCTGCACCTGTGAAAAGAAATAAAAATGCTTGCTTTTGTCTCTAGGTTGCCTTGGGGCTTTCTTGTTTAGTGCTTGTACTTTTTTATTTTCATTGTGCTATGGAAATATATATAAATATAAAAGTCTAACACTCCAGAAGACCCTGTCAAAATGATGAACGGGAGGTTTGGTATACTATCTCCCTCTCCCCTTTGTGAGTTCTCCTCATACAAATGGTCACTCTGGGGTAATGATCTGGTGGTTTAACACATGCCGATAGCGATAATTGAATACTAATCCATAACTGCCATGGCAGTTTTTGTAAATTTGCCTCTGTCTCTCAGCTTTAATACTTTAAGGTTTAAGGGCAAGCTGGCATAACAAAGAAGAATGTGAGATGGATTTCAAAGCTCCATCCAGCACTCCACAAATGCTTTTTGAGGTTTTAGGACCTGGCAGACTCTGCTTAATGATGATGTCTTGGCATAACTATCTGAAGAAGCCATTATTCTACAAACACTGGTGTT